ATATTTAAAAAATACACTTATTTATTTTTAAACATGTTCTTATTAGTCATTTAATGTTAAATAACAGCCATTAACTATTGTATAACCAAACAGTTATATTTATCGAATCCACTATTTACTATCCACTACCTACTTTTCGCCATCCGCTATCTGCTACCAGCTAAACGCCACCCCCCACCCGTTACCTACTATCGCTATCCACTATCCACATCCCGCTACCACTATTCACTATCCGTTACCCGCTATCCGCTATTCGCTTAATTTTAACCGCTTTACCAAACAAGTCCTTAATTAGATTTTGAGTTTATTTTATTAAAAATTGAATCTAACTAATTTTAAATAGTTTAAATTTTGATTATTAGGTTTAAAAATGAAAAAATTGATAACTAAAGAGAATATAATTAAAAAAATTCAGTCAAAAAGCTTTTTATATAAATTTTTAATGGTTTCTAAGTTTTTTTAAGATTCTCTAGTCACTTTTGAGTGAATTACTTATTTATTTGGATAATTTTTAATTTTTTAATTATTGAAATTAATAAAATAATAATTAAAAATTAAAAAAAAAAACTAAAAATAATTTTTTAACTAAAATCGAAATCAATCGATAACTACACTCCAAAATATAACAAAAACGGATAAAAACCATCCTTTTTAATTTGATTAATGGTTACTAAAATTTAAAACTAAAAATTTTAATTAACCAATAATTCAGTTTCAATTGTAACTAAAATCAAATTGTTCCCATCCCTAGCCAATATGCATATCAATAATTTATCATGTAATGTAAATGCTATGTGAATGATGTAGGAGAAATTCTCATTTTAAAAAAACTTCTAGATTATAGGAGTATATATGTACCTATTACATGTAATTTCATATTAAAAAAAAGTTAATTATTAAAATGACTTATTTATACTAGACAAATAAGCATTGTTGCTATTAATATTCAAGCCTTAAACTTGACTTTCCAAACAATTCAAAGCACATCTGCACAAATTTTATTTTCAAATTTTGTTTTCTCGTTGGTAGACATTTAATCAAGGGCGTATTTAGGGGACTGAGGGGCCTAGGGCCAACAACTTTTGAATTTTTGAAAGTTAGATAGTTTTTTTTTTTTTTAATAAATAAATATAAATTATTTGACTTTTTTATATGTAATATTTTATAATATATAAATAATAATTATAAATTTTTTAATAAAATAAAATTATTCAACTAAAATTATATATGTAAAATCTCAATTGTCATTTATATATTATAAAAGAATATTATTTAAAATTACTAGCAAAAGAGTCAAACTTATATTTTGTAATACGGGAGTACTCATTTATTAAATAAAGTGTTATATGATCATTTAGCAAAGTTATCTGAACTTTAAGTTTAATTTAATTGAAAACAATATAATTATAATGTTTTGTACTATTGTAAATTTATAATATAATATGTAGTTATATAATTAGTTTTTTTTATTCAAGAATCTATCGTAATATAATTATATGTAATTATTTATTTAATAATATATTGACTTATTTAATGTTATGTTATAATTATAATTTTACAACTCTGCTTACTATTATAATTATAGTATTATTATAATTTAATTTATCTCACAAGTAACTAATAAGTAAAAACTATATGGTTAAATGTGAAATTTAGTTTCAAAACTTTTTATTTTATATATTTTTATCCCCGAAACTATTTTTCAACACTTTTTTTTATCCTCAACTTTACACAATGCACTTTTTGTCCTTCTATTTAGTTTAGTAATGATATCATCATTAATTCATTTAAAAATTTATTTTTCTTCAATTTTTTATGACACTTTTATTATAAATGAGTCCCTTACTTTAGTTGAACAAAATATGTGGCATTCATGTTAGTAATTGTAACCTAAATGAATAAAATAATATATAAATTAAACATCTAAAAAATATATACCAATTAAATTTTTTTATAAATTAAAATATTAACATTTATAAAAATACAAAAATACCCATAAAATCTTTTTTCCCCAAATTATTTCTTCACTAGAAACATTTTTGGGCATCATGCCACCCTAAGTCCACGTTAATTAATTTAATGATTTGTCATTGTCATATTATTAAAAAAATGATTTATCTAACTTGTACCCTAATGACACAAGTTAAAACTCATTAATTAAGGTATTTTTAATTAATTTTACATAAATTTTCATATTAGATTCATAATTTTTCATAAATTTTGAAATAAAACATTATATTATATTATATTTTTACATTTTTTATTATATTTTATTTGAATCTTGTACAAAAATTTGTGTTAAATTAATTATAAATATTACAATAAATGAAGCTTAACCCGTGCCCTAAAGGCATTAGTTAAAAAATTCCTTAAAAATTATTATTTTAAACTAAGTTAATAACAACATCATTACTTAACTAATAAAAAGATAAAAATAATACAATTTATAGAGTTTGAAAAACTAAAAATATGTTAAAACTAATTTTTTAAAAATCAAAATGCGAGGTTTAATTGTTAAAATTTAGCATTTAACCTAACCGTATATAGGTACCAAACTAAACTTCGCTTAAAAGAGTGACAAATGCAGCTTTTTTTTTATATATATATAAATGAAGAATTTAGGAAAAAATATTTTTTAAAATAATAGATGAGAGTAGAACTTTTAAGTTATTAGAATTATTTGATTTTTTTTTTTTTTACAATAACAATGGTTAGAGGTTAGTAAGATTAGAATTGTTAATGAGAGATATTGAACTTGAACAATGGTGCAATCCACATGTTACCTTTTTGAGCAACAACGGTCACAATCACAATAGAAAAATGCAAAAAAAAGATGAAGATTAAACTCCACATCTAAAATAAAATATCTTTTAATCAATAATAAAGTGATCACGTGAGCTACACGGGGCTTCTTTAGAATTATTTGAATTAAAACACTTAAAACTCAAAAAGTGAACTAATAGACATGATGAGCTGGTTTAACAAATGCAGCTCATTAATTAACGGTGACAAAGAGATTTGTACTCAAATTCCTTAATCCTTATCCACCTTTCAACGTGGAACTGTGGAATCTGCAGTATGATATTTTATGACCTATAAGTCATCCAAAATCTATGACTCGTGTCCTTGAACAAATTAAATGAAGAATGCCTCCTTGGGTCCACCGGCAAGTTCAAGTGGCACCTCTCATTATATGTTGTATCTTTAAGCAACATCCCAACACAGATTCATACTCGCAACTCAATTTTGTTCTTTTAATAGCATAAGCATAACCCTTTAAACAAATCTCATTTAGATCTACCAGGACCATGGAAAAGATTGCACGCATAATCAGTGCATCTTTGTGGCAGGCAAAGAGACCTGACAAAATCGTCCTGCGTAGCAGCGTGGCAGTGAAAAAGAACATTGAAAAGAACATGATTGAGTAAATTAATATATATAGTGCAAATGCATTTGACATTGCAAAGATTGCGAAGGACTTCAGTTTTCAATGATATCGGGTACCTTTGGCTTACGTTATTCTAGCAATGGTAATGATTTATTGGTAATATTTATTGATGTTAATAAATTAAATAAATACATATATATGTCAACCGACTTGTCGTACAATTGATTGGTCCCCAAACTTTAGGGTTTGGGTGAGGCGGAAGTTAGGGTTTCGAGTTCTACCACCGCCGTAAACTTCACCAACTTACGACCTAATGGTCGCGCCCCTCAAGTGAGGGGGTGAAACATTCCCTCAAATGAGGGGTGGAACGTTCACTTTTCTGAAAAAATTCCAGCTGCTAACAAACTAACTCTACTAACTTCCTAACCATCTACCTGGTTCAAAAAAAAAAAATACATATATATTACTTCAAGAATTATATATGAGTAAAAAAAA